TTTCAACAAGACCCTAACTGAGTCAAACCGTTAAGAATTGAAAAAGTTATCATGGTTTTACCTTTCTGCCAAAGGCTTTGCCCCGAAGGCCTACTACCACCGAAGGCCTTTGCCTGGAAAACCCTTCCGCCTTCGGGAAATTCTAACACTTAAACAAAACCTGAAACTGTTTTTTATTAACAAACCAAGAAAAATTAACACAAGTTTTTCACTATATGTGTAAGTCACAGAACACTAAACAAAAAATTGAAACCTTTTCCGAATCGTAAGCCAACTCTGATACCAATTCTTAACGTAAAACCTAAAGCCAAGTACGAATCACACAAGAATCACACTGGACACTCATATAACATGGTTCATCCTTAAGGGCTACGTCCACAGCTCAAACACGCGAAAGAGTTTACTGACAAGGTGAATACACAATACTGCTCTGAGAAGAATACTTGGCCTTGGGGGTATATTTATACCCAAAGCCAACGACACATCTAGCTATAAATAGCTATAACCTGAAGTTACTCTTTAACTGGAGTTAATCTTAACATACATTTAGTATCTTCATTTTTTCTTTTCAATATTTCTGAAACCTCGCGTCTCACTTAGGTTTACAAGTGGCATTTACATAGTATGATAAATCTATAATTGGTAAATTGGAAACCCACTGAAAGTATATTTGCAATGCTTTGAATTTATGGATAAACATAATATTCTTTGAAGGGGTTTTTTTTATAATAATTGAAAATTACCTTGAAAAAATATATTTAGTGTTTAGTTTTATCTTGAAATTTTAAAACATGAAATATTTAAATTATGTAAGATACAATGCATCTTTATTTAAATTTCTTAAATAAATTTCAATATTTTAAAGAAAAAATAATCCTTAAACATGATTAGTAGTCTTATTGAATTATGTTTAAATATATTTTCTTATTCAATCAATAATGAAATCAATTCAGATCATGACATATTATGTAGGTACACATTTTTGATAGTTTAGTTCCATATTATTGTGATTGATAAATAATTTCTGCATTAAAGTATCAATTTAGATTTGTGATAAATTTAGCTTCAAATATAATACATGAATTTTCAAACATTATTAACGAATATGATCTAAACGAGACATTAAAAAATATAAAATATTTACAACTTTACTCTGAGTTTTACAACATACAAAACAAAGTTATTTTTATGCTACCAATTTCATTGATTTCTTAAAAAAACTAAGAATTTATTCGTAATTTGAAATGTGGTTTCGAAAATGAATGATTTGAAAATTTTGAAAAGAAAATTTTAGAAAAAATGTAAGTTTATATATCAAAGTTGTTATACATACGGCTCCGATCGGGTTGGATCAAGTTTGATCTTCAACCCGAACCCGACCTGAAAAACCTAGTCGGATTCGGGTCAATTTGGGTAGAACTCGAATACATCCCACGGGTATCCATGATTGTGAAGGGACGGCGAGGGAGAATCGAGAAATTGGAGCTTCAAGTTATTTCTTGACGAGGAGACGATGCGAGATTTTTTCGAGGAGTCATGACGAGCAGCATAGGTAGCGCAATGCGGCGAGCTAGACGCAAAAGCAAGCGAGCAAGAGAGCAGGTGCCTGCATCGTATTAAGCGAGGTGTGCAATGCGCGAGAAGAGGAGGAGGAGGTGTGCCAGACACGAGATGATGAGCAGAGTTTCGCGAATTAGAGTGGAAGCCGATGCAGACGATGACGGACCAGCTAGGCTTGTAGCTGAGTTCTTATCTGTCGTTGCTTTACTCATGTCAGCATAATCACTTCATATATCTCTAGCATATCATTTGCAACCTTTGACGATTTACAAAACACTACCCTACCGACACTTGAAAAAGCTTTGTGAGGATGCTTTCACAGTCTCGTCGCTTCAGTGAATCACCCGCTCGTAGCCTCTAAGCTCCTTGACATTTTTTTACAAGAAAGTTTATCTTGGAGGTCTTGGATAACGAAAGATTGTTTCGTTCAAATGGCTACTTAATTTCAGGTTTCAGGTTGGGTAGAGACCTCTACCCAAACCCGGAGCCGATACAAATCGAACTCAGGTTTTCTAATTTTATCCAAATCCAATCAAAGCCCTACTTGTAAATCTATGTTTAACTATTAAACTGGCTATATGATTTTCTTTCTTTGAGTTTTTTTAATATTACTAAAATTATATGCACTGCTTTGTAAGTTCAATAAAATTTCATCCAATTTCAATCAAAATTATTTGATCATAAATTAAAACTTAAATAAAATTCTTGGAAAAACAAACCATAAATTTATTATGGAAATTAAAAAAATAGTAACTTCTTACCAAAGTGAAACATATGTTCTTTTTTGTGAGTTCTTTCCTACTTGTACATAGATTAGATTAGAAATTTCTACATCAAACGGTAATAAAGTTTTTGTAAGTGCAATTTTACAAGATGAATGATGAAATATTGATTATATATATAAAAAATATTATACGTAACTGTGTGTGCTTAGGTAATGTAATTGACGTAATTCAATCTAAAAAGTCACTTTTTGTAGATCATTGCTTAATGTATTATTTCAATAATTTATTTCTGCATTTAAATATAATAAAATAATTAATAATCATATTTTTTTAAATATAAGTCGGAAAATTTTAGATTATTGTTAAATCTATGTAATTAATTTTTTAATAATCAATAATCCATTAAATGACATTTGTGATCTTGTTAATAATTCATGAAATACTTAATTCGTAAATTTAGATCCAATTTTAAAAGTATTGAAATATTGAAATCATCTTAATATTTTTAAATATATATATTCTTGATTCATAAACACTTCATAGCTACAAATGTGCATGAAATTCAGCAATCAAATACACATAAGCACATGATAGCCATCAAGTGTGAATCATCCAATGATAAGTTTAACATGTACATTGCATTCGAGCCCTTCATCTTGGTGTGAATACAAGTGAAAGTTTTATTCTTCATAATATCTTTTCACAAATGTAAATCATATATGTTATGAAAAAATTATTTCACAAAAGTACACAAATTTACATCTTTAACAAAAAATTGATTTTGTTATGCTAATTGAAATTAAATCAGTTTAATTGTTGAACTTAAGTGACTATATATAAAATTTATTTCCAGGTTTTCAGGTTTTTGATGATATCTCAAGTGTGTCAGATTTTATCAATAAATAGAGATTGAATTTCAAATTACTTATAAAAGCCAGAATAATTGATAATTTTATTGATAAATAAATATTTGCATTTGCTGGCCATTTAAAAATAGCCAAGACTTGCTTTGAATCTTATGTAAAAGTATATTTCAAATTTTTATATTAAAAAATGAAAATTGATTAAAAAATTTATGAACTTTTTTTAGTATGACGCAGTAATTTCAGGAATTTTGATGAATTGTAAACTTAGTTTAAGAAATAATCTCAATAAGTATGTGCTTGGAGTGAATACTTTTTCATGATCTTCATGTCAGGTTATGATCCCAATAGTCTATTATTTTGTTCGATATTTACCCTTCAATATTTTATTTTATCTTGCAAAATTTTTGAACTTTTTGATGTCAAGAATAGTTTTTTCTGTGAGAAAATTTTTCTTTGTATACAGATATGACTTTTTATACATAAACGCGGAAAATTTATTATTGGTTTCAAATTATATAAAGTTCAGTCAAACGTGATTTTACAAAACACTATCTATTGATTGAGTTGAATATTACGTGATCGCTTGATGTGATTTAGAAATCTCTCAACGTAAGAATATTATTAGTCACTTCAAGAAAATTATTTAAAAGATCCTACTAGATAAAGATACGTTTTATTTACTAATGTACACTCTTAACTGTTGTAGAATGGCTATAATTTTGTGAATAGAAGACTCACATGTCATAATTGTGTGTTAATATTATAACATGGAAACCTTGATGAGGTTTTACTGAAACTCAAACACCAAGAACGACATCAAACCTGGGAGTGCGAACTATAAAAAAGTGAACATCAAATCAGATCTTGATAGATATATTGTTTGTTATGAATCACACTGATAGATAGATATTATAGCCCATGGTGGTACTCGGGTACATGGCGGATGATTACCCCTAGTTTAGAGGAATGCATGTACCTTTAACCTCTCCAGGCAAGTGAGTTGTAAAAGTGCACAACTGCATAGACTTAAATATGTCAAGACAATCGCATCACCTCTTTCTTCTTATGAAAAACTTGCGTAAAGTATTTCTCGGGATGCGGGTGCAATTCTTCGTTCGTGTATTGCGCCAATGATGGATCGGGCCAAAGTGCAAGCCTTACTTACACAATAACCAAGGCTGGTGGTATGACGGCGTCGGGCACGATACAACCTACACGAAGGAAGATTCCGGGCAACAGAGGCTTCACCGCAGCGAGAGAACACAACTAGAAAAGGCAGCCCCGCGGGGAGTTATTAATAGGGACGTGATAGGAGGAAAGTAAAGCTCAGTCCAGCTGAATACGACGATGAAGACATGAACTCAGCGGCACTCAGCAGAATCCGCAACGACTCTTTGCTTGATGGTTGTCTTCCTCGAGTTGAGCTTGCCCGAATTGGTGCTGTGTCCAGCAAGTGGAGGAGCTCCTGAAGAAACATGCGATCTCAATCAGGTCCACGTGACCCAGAGAGAACACGCGCACGTCCTGTCTCTTCTAGATCTGCAGGAGCGATGTGGTCGTCCGTTCGTGCGCCACCGGCGTCACGCCTCTGACCCAGTGGGATGCAAAAGCTACAAGTCAATATCGGAGTTTTACTCTACTCTGATCGTCACGCAGAGCATGGCTCCGTATTCACCGGTGGCCGAGCTTCAAAAAGCAAGCGCTGATTTTGCGGGACAAGCTGGACTTGGGAGCAGCAGGATAGAGTGAGCAATTCGCCTAGAATGAGCACAAGCCGAGTGTTGGAGGCAAAATCCAGACGAAATTGTGGTTATTGCGTTAGATTCATAGGTCCAGAGTCGATGGAGATTTGATTTCTATGCAAACTTGGTGGTCAGTATTGTCGGTTGATGAAGCCCGGATCTGGACAAGTGCGTATTTGGCCATGAGAGTCACGCCTGACGCCGAGAGAAGGGACATCCTGAGGCTCTCACAAATTGTAATGTTGACTGCTTGTAGTGTTGCCTGCTAAAGCTTCACCGACGTCATCACTGTCGTCGGTGGCAAGCTGGGTCGCCTGGACTTGCCCGCTCTGAGTCCACTCACAGCTAATTAGAGATTTTATCGCTCGTCCCATTATAGACCCTGGGCACACTTCGTTAGCCTGGGCTTGGGTTCATAAGGTCCGTCTTGCACTGGATTCCCACTCCTCTCACTCACCCTTTCTCATTTCATGAGAAGAGGTGAGTGTTCAGATCCACTGAAGTTTGTTCGGATATTTGCGAGGAAGGAAAATAGACCTCCTCGTGGTAGCGACGAGAGGATCAGATAGGTTGGTCTCTAGGGAGTTTGCGTTCTGGAGGATCTGAGCAAGATGGGGTCCCAAGCATTGATCGCAGGTTTGATTTTCGCATTATTCGCGACAACATGCTCGGCTCAGGTGAACGATCAGCGTGGGTTTTATGAGCGTTTCCAAATCAATTGGGCTGGTGAGAATATATGGGATAATGCGTGGGCCAAAGAGGTCCAAATGCAGCTCGTCCCCACCGGTGGAGCATCCATCGCAAGTTACAACTCTTACCTGTATGGTCACTTCAGTGCCCGCTTGAAGCTGGTTGCGAACGAATCTTCTGGCGTCGTCACCGCACTCTACGTAAGTTTTCCTTATTAGCAGAGTATCACGCTCAGTTCAAGAAGCCGACACTGCACTTGAGATCGCTCGCACTCGTCGCATTAGCTTATGGGATCTGACAATCACCTCGTTCTTTCTGTTCCAGCTCACTTCATACGGTCCTAACTGGGATGAGATCGATTTCGAGTTCCTCGGAAATGAAACTGGGCAGCCCTACGTGCTGCACACCAATCTCTTCGTCAATGGTAATGGAAGCAGGGAGCAGCGCATATTCTTGTGGTTCGACCCAACATTGGACTTCCACACTTATGCTGTTGTCTGGAACCACGAGCAGATCTTGTAAGCAGATTCACCCACCTCCCTTCACATTCTCCCGTACAATGCCGTACCTCGCCCTGCGCAAAACTGTGAACAACATGCAAAGTAGCTCTCGAGCCGTAGTGTTCTGCATAAGAACATGATGTCAATATACGAAGCTGCAAAATTATTCTGAGTTTGTAGGGGAAAGTTTTGGTGCTGATGGCAGGCTGAGATTTGGCTATTCAGGTTGAAACTTTTTTCTGGTCATGTGTCTAACAGACATTACTTGTGTATCACGCAGGTGGTTGGTTGACGATATCCCAATCCGTGTCCACAAAAACCGCGAGGCTTGGCACCCGAACTCCTTCCCTCACTTCCGTCCTATGGTAGTTGCGGCGAGCATTTTTGAGGCCAGTACCTGGGCTACTCAAGGTGGCAGAGTGCCCATTAAGTGGGAATTTGCTCCTTTCAAGATCACTTTCTCGAACTTCACCTTCGATGCGTGCACGGTGTGGAATAATGACACTACTCCGTGCAACACGGAATACTGGAACAATCCTTGGGAGTCTTGGAATTACACGAACTTGGACTGGGCGCAGGCAGGCCAGCTGAACTGGGTTAAGAATTCTTTTACAGTGTACGATTATTGCACTGATAGGGTTAGATTTCCAGTCGAACCCGCTGAGTGTGTATACAACGCCGTCTAAGTGACCACAAGATGTAGATATTAGTTGCTGTAGTTTGGATCCTACTATTGTTAAGCTTCGAGAGCAGCCTCGCAGCGGCTTGTGCTGGCAGAGCAGGTGTAGTTTTCGAATTGTATGAGTATGTAAGATGGTACAGGTCAGGCCCGAGGCCTCTGTCGCATAGGATATGATCTCCAGTGGAAGGAGTCCATTCATACAAGCAATAAATTGTTGAAGTCGAAGAGATTGTTGATACTGACAAGTGTGGAAGGGTTTGTATGGTACAGTATACATTCGCTTAAGTCCTCGCTTCACAAAGAAAAATTGCTGCATCAATTAAGTCCGCACTTCACAAAGTAAAATTGCTGGATCAATTCTCAAGAGTGTACAGCATTTTACAGAAAATCAAATAGAATCAAACCATTTACAAGTAGTATTAATTCGGCGTCTTCAACTTCAGCTTAAGCTTCTTGCGCGGAAGATAAAACCGAAGGCAAGATGGGAGGAAGAGAGAAACGAATTGACGCACGGAGGTTGAGAGGAGAGGAGCTCGACGTGGCTCTCTTGCTTGCTGCCGCACAGAGTGCGTCAAGGTGCAAGAAGGGAGTGTTGAGAGGGGAGTGGAGGTTGCAAGTGTAGCTTAGGTTAAGAGGTAGACTCTTTGCAGCGAAAGGTTCTTAAAGATCTTAAACCCTGTAGCTAATCAGCTTATACGTTTTTATAAAAGTTTATATATATTGATACTAATCTTCATGTGTATTAACCTTAATATGTGTATTAATCCTAATCTTCCTTCAGACTGTGACAGTAATCCTAATATTTATGTGTATTAACCCTAATCTTCCTAAGTCCATAAAAAAGTAAAAGTTAGCTTCAAAACTATATATTTTATGTGCTAATCCTAAGTTGCGGACTTAACCCAGTGTATTCTGTATTGGATCTTTGTCTGCTATAGATACGCACCAGACCTCCTAGATCAAGTTGAGTATTTAAGCCAGTGTATACTATACTGGATCTTTGTCTGCTATATAGTAGACGGAAGATAGAAAAATCCGAAGTGAGTTAATTTGAAAGTGTACAAAGTGCAAAAAAAGAAAATCGAAAGAAATGGTTACATTTGATATTTATTTATTTATACATAATACTATATATTTAAAATCTATAGTATAGAAAAAATAAACTTTCATCTATTTATTAATTCCTTTTTTCTAGTCACACATCACAAAATTATTGATTGTGTATTAATATTTCGTGATAAGTATAGGGAGTGCTTAGTTATCACTCACTAGTGGGTTATTAATCTTCACTCTAATGTGCGCAATTCTTTTATTGATCAATATAATATACGCAGTTCTGTTATTGGTAGATGCAGAGCAAGAGTGATGGTACAATATCCTATAAATGTACCAAAAGGTAATAGTGATACAATAGTATTTATAGAGTAACTTTTTATCTGATTGAAACAGTACTCTATAAATAGTGTTTCAATCAATTTCAGTGTTATAGTAGAGTGAAAGTTAAATAACCCAAAGTGAAAATAACTGTACACTCTCTAAGTATAATTCAAGAAAAAAATTAAGCTACGTACAATAATTACATATACATACGAATATACTGTAGATAGATTAACGTTACTATAAGTGAAAATTCTCAAAAAAGCGAGCATAGGACCAGATATCAGATCTCTATCTCGTGAGAACATACATATGAACAAAATGAATATGTTCCACATCTAGTGAGATCAAAAAATTAGTTACATCGTTAGATTGAGTGCTGTCTTTCATCCTTTTCGCTAAACTTCCCAGTCCCTCCTACTGAGTAGATTTGTTAGTACACATAAAATGGTATATCTCAGAGCAAGATGATCGCCAGTGAGCTCCCCGAAGTGACATCTAAGTGGCCATTTTGGTATTCAAGCCTCAATATGGCGAGCAAACTCGGATTGATCTGCAGCTACCACGACGGTGAAGAACATTAAAGTGGATTCTGAATTGACGCATATTTCAGACTTGGCTGGTTGGTTTTGCTGATACTTGCGTCTCAGATGATTGACACCAGTGAGTGAGCGCCACAGTGATATTTTGTTCCTCTGATATCTACTCCCGAATTCGGGATTTCTATCTGCTGTACCACAAGAAGCAGGGCCCGGCGTCGATAGATAAATAACGATTTACGCGGAGTCGAATGCGTGAGTTCCTATTGACGTTCGACGTGGTTTCATTCCGTCGATGAAACCGTCACCATTCCGAGGTTCTTTGGCTGTTTGCATTCAACGCACTTCTTTAGAAGTTTCTACTCCGGTACTTTGTACATACATGGAACGAAGTAATCGACTGCAAGGAAAATGCATCGTTACAATCTCGACCGGAGTACAAAACAGGTTGAAAGTCAGCCGTAACGTGGCTTCCTGAGCAATGCGGTAGTTCTGTGCTATATCCACACAGTGAAAGCACGGTGCTCGATCGTCAATCGATCTTGTGCATGCTTGAGTCTTGAGCGGTACTCAGTAAAAACTAGAATAAGTCCACCTGATGTGATGTTCAATTTTCGGTCGTCAAGACAATAGATCTTCTGGTTCGAATGAGCACGCGCAATTTGGAGGTAACTGGGGCGTCGCATTCGCGATAGAATCAGAGTGTTATAATTTTGCTATATTTCGGAAACCCGGTGGAAGAAAATTCAAGATTTGAGCCAGGCTACGCACCAATCTTTCTGTAGAGCATCCCAGTCCCAGATATTGAAAGGCTGTGCCCACACGGAGGCAAGGTGCCTCATGGAACTGGAAACCGCTTACAGGGGCAGCAAGTTCATGGGTCACTTCCCTGCGAGAAGCTCGTGCACAAGTTGGACTAAAACTGATCAGATAGCCGAAAGACCCAATGAAGGCAAAAATTGGAAAACAATGAATAACAAAGAATAACATACTGTTAATGCTACTACCGCCTGTAATGTCCACGAACTTGATCCCGGCGTACACGTGGGTCGTCTCGCCAGGGTCCAATATTGTTTCAAGCCAAGTCAATGTTCAACTACGGAGATGGAGTCTAGTACGATTAGAAGGCAACAACAAACCCGGTGCTACCAGAGCGAGGTTAACATCTAGCAATGTGAGGACAGCTGGTTCATGTATCAAATATAGCACCATGGAGAGCTTGAAGCGTACGTAGAGCTAATCCGACGAATCTCCTAGCGGTCAGCCGACGATTCTATTGCTGTAATTCGTTGATCAATTCGAGGCATATAAGGAGATGCAACGACTGCTATGGAGCTCGTCATCCGACTGGGCCGACCGATGTTCGGCTTTAGCCACCCGACCAGCAGTCGACAGCTGTGCGTTCTGCGCATTTTAGCCCTGTGGCCGCATGCATGACGCCAAGAGGCGCCGACTCTAAAAACGGTTTTAGTTAATTTGTCGTGGGATGATTTTTCCGTGCCACTCATATTTCAAAGAACGACGATCATCAGAGCCGCAGCAATCTACAATCCACGCGCTTAAGGTCGATAAACATCCGATGACACTGTGGTGCTCCTCCAAGTGCTAGTTGCCTGTGGCTATATGTGTTTGGCACTTTATCTCGTCTGGACAGACAACAGGAAATTGTAGAAGCAATTGCAGGTTTGCGCCTCGTCTCGAGACCTTTTGGAGCAGGTCTCAAGGACTCTTGTTTGAAGGCGGAGAATCAGAACGGGCAGAATGCGTACGGGCAGTAAATGTCTCCTCGGCTCATCCATCGTTCTTGTGCTTCTGGGATCCTGCTTTGGTGCCTTCTATGAAGACTTTTCAGCCGACTGGGGTGGGGAGAACATCCTCTTAAATGAGGGCGTGAATGGGGTCGACCTCAGGTTGACTACCAATACAGGCGCAAGATTTGCTAGCCGCAATTCATACTTGTTTGGGGCCTTCAGTGTGAATATGAAGCTGATTGCTGGTAACTCAGCTGGAACTGCCTGCTCATTTTATGTAAGTATCACTTACCAATCAAGTACGATGATCTCATGATATTGAAGGCATAGCCGTCAATTCGAAATCCGACATCTTGACTGATATCATTACTACATCTTTCTTATTTTACAGCTAACTTCGTACGGCGACAGCCACGATGAAATCGATTTCGAGTTCTTGGGAAATGTATCAGGCCAACCGTACGTGCTGCACACGAATGTTTTTGGTCATGGGAAAGGTGAACGAGAGCAGCGCATGTTCTTGTGGTTCGACCCAACAGCAGATTTCCATAACTACAGTGTCATCTGGAACCATCGCCACGTAACGTACGTCTAATGAGCATACTAATCTCCCAAGCGTACTTTGTTGTTTCAAGAAAGACTATCTGTAAATTGTACTGCAATCGACTGATTCTTTTCTCCATCTCTATGTGCAGGTGGTACGTGGATAATACTCCCATTCGAGTCTTCAGAAATCTTGAAAGCAAGTATCCGAACACCTATTTAAACACTGAAGCACAAGTCGTGTCTGGCAGTATCTTTGATGCTAGTACGTGGGCAACTCGTGGTGGTCTTATTCCAATTGACTGGAATTCTGCACCGTTCATTGTAAAGTTCAGAGACTTTTCGTTCAATGCTTGCCATGTGGTAAACAACGACGTTACAAACTGTAAGAAACAGAACGCTAGAAATTGGTGGGAAGCGAAGAATCTGGATAGGGCAAGTATTGCGAGGATGAGGAGTGTCACAAAGAAGTACAGATTTTACGATTACTGTACTGATAAAGTTAGAAACCCCACTCCGCCTGCAGAATGTAGATATAATAACTTGTAATTATCTATGTGCTTGTATCAACATATGTATTATTCGTACATAGTAGACTGTATCCTATGTTTTTTCCCATAGTCCTCGTTGTACGATTTGTTCAATAGAGCTCTCAGGAACCTATTACTTCGTATGCTAGATAAGACTGCAGCATAATAACATTGTAACGAGTATCTACAGACAGAAAGGTAATGTATCATTGTTCTTTTCATTGTCAGATATACTTATTCAGTGCATTAGTGTTTTCTCATACGTGAAATTATGTTTGGCCTGGTTATAACAAGTAACTGCAGACTCTAGTGCTCTATGAATGTGATAAATTCCAAATTTGCGGGTAGCAGTGGCTATTGTCTTTGAGCCAACGGACTAGTTCAAATTCCAGTCAATTGTGTCGAGGTTTTCTCCATACAGCAGTTATCATGATGATTATGGTAAGAGTTTGTATTCCGAAATCCTGTATACTGAATATGAAAATATGAATGTTGTAAGTAATGTATCAAGCATGTTCACCAGTATTGTGATTGATGCTGTACGATACTAACTGAGTAGGATGATGGAAGGGACGTATGTGCATGTGAAATGAGTATTATGATCATTGCCAGCATCATGACATCTCAAAGGCTGCGCCTGTATATGTTTATTTTTTACAAAAAGATTTCTATGCTCCATTATCAGCACAAGGTGTTCTGACAGTCTCTCAAACTCGATTTCAGCAGAAGAACTAACGAAGGAAATTATTGAAGACTGAAGTAAACCTCATTCCACAGCTGCGAAAATTAGACTGGAAATCTGTCACAAATCTGTGAGATTTACAATGTGATGAATCAGTACTTGGAAGGAATGTATGTGGCTATATTGTTACAAACTGTTATAGTTAGAAACAAATACTTCTTATAAAAAAGTCAAATTTTTGCTTCATATGCTTGCATAAGAAAGTAACATTCTCTATTAGGCACTGTTTGACGGAATATGATGATGAAGGTAATAATTTATCGAAGGATCAATTGAAGGAGGAAGAGTTTCCACCTTGTAATCAAAGTAATGAACATGGATACAGATGCAATTTTAGAAAGGGCTCTTGTGCTTCAAAGGAAGAGAATAGGTTAATACACGAATGTACACTGCGTCTACTATACTTACGTGGACTTCTGCGTTGTATTGAATCTTTGTTTCACTGAAATACAACATTGATGTCTAAAATTACGATCCAACGTACGTTCAGAGAAATAACGATAGGTACATTTAATTCAATGTCGCTAACGTACAAATCAATGATTTCTAGGATCACGAAGGTGATTTGGAAAAAAAGCATCAATAATAATATTTCCATTGTCCACAATCTTCAACCGTGCCCTCCGGGTAGCATAATTGCTTCTGATGCAACATTGGACTAGAAATAACATCTGCTTTCTTCGTATAAACTGTCCGGAGCGTCTTTTAACCAAAAAAATGTCTGTCAACCTCTGTCCATGCTCATATATCTTGCGAAAGCAGGTATTTTGCACGAGCCAGTATTTGGACATCTAGTAACTTCCCGGCAGGCTGTCTAAGCTATTCTTCCAAACACGTGTATCACCTAACAACTTCAATGAAGAAGAACACCATCCCTCTGATCGATGAAGGACCCCTGTAAGCGAGCCCGTTCCTCCCGTTAACGGATATGGAGCGATATATGAATGAGTTAAAGGTTGAGAAGAACCCGAATACATGCGACATCCCTTCAGCCCCACCCTCCTCACATAAAACGCCTCTCGTTACTCAATAGATCGTAACTGCTACTACGACGTTCGAGAACATATTCTTACCTTGAAGCGTTGTTTCCTTTGATGTAAATTGTTGCTCTCATTGAGATCAGTGTTCTCGCCACTGGTATTATACGACGTGATAACCAAAAAGCATCATTCCTTCTTTTCCTGCTTTAATCCATTCAATCCAGGACTGCTAACCCGTACTACTTCCCCTTCCTTAAACTGTCCTCAATATACCCAGTGCTACAGTGAATAACGAGCCAGAAGGATCACTCACTACACTCAACGTAGAGGTTTTTAGTGCCTACACAGCCGATCTCCTGTAATCTTGAAGGTTAACTTGAAGAGATTGAGCTGACTTTGCTCTCCAACAAGAATCGGTTGCGCTAAAGTACCAGCACTCGCTGTGGGGGCGAAGCTTAACTAGGCTCACGAACGTCTTTTCGAACTTATGTGAGCAGAATGGTTAAAGGATACGAAAGTTCGAGTACGAATGAACATAATCTACTCCATTTGCATCATGAAAACTGTTCTTGACGTGAGTCATGAAGGGATTTTGTGTGTGCCTTGCTTATGTCAATGTTGAGAGAAACTGTTTATTGGCCGTTGTTTGGTTTTACTTTTAATAAATTTATCTTCAGTTAAACTAAGATATATTATGAAATCAGTGCGACTCAGCTCAGAGAAACTTTCAATTCTGCTCTTGGTTCAAGGTGTATTGACCGGAGTTATTCAAGCATCGGTTTGGTAAATTATATGAGAGAGTTTTTCATGTATTATTTTGTATGAAGTTATGAATCATCAACTAGATTTGAAAATTTATTTCTCATCATGTTAAAATGATTCATAATCATGATTGAGTGCTTTAAAACTCCACTAATTTCTATGTCTTGTTATCAATTCACAATTACAACTTATGCTCGATAGTATTATTTTATTCAAATTTATTGGAAAGAACTTAAGATCATGTCTGATAACAAGATCAACATATTGTCATCATCATTTTTAGTTTTTATGATGATCTTAAAAATTGGATGAATCAACACATAATCTATATATTGTTTAATTATATAAATCCGATTTGATAATTAGTTATATTTTCTAGTAGAAAATTCTCTCTAATCTCTATTGTTTTTGGTGTAATTAGTCTAGTATCACCAATGCTAACTGAATTTTTCAATTTTTGCTCTTAAGAAAAACATATTTTGGTATCAAAGCCTTTTTGTAAATGTAGATTTGTCCTCGTCAGTACAAGCACAATCAGTCTGAAAAAACTTACTCTCTTTTAATAATATGGGATTTAAAAAAATAAATTCATATTGACAGTAACCTTACATATTACAAAATTTTATATTCAACATTTCAAGACACGAATATATCCAAGAAAACAACACATGTTGATGTAGATATAATTTTGGTACTATTTCTTTAGATGTAATAGAATAATTCTTAAATCAAAAGATCTCAAAATATGATAATGAATCATCTGTTTGTGATTCAATTCAAAATTTTTCAGAATTATAACTTTCAATTAAAAGAGTAAAGATATATTCAATATGTTCTAGTAATCAAAGCTCCAAATCTAGTATTAAATTCTAGCATTTATAAATTTAAATGCATGTGTTTTTCCAACATTATCTTTTTATATATCTTCATCTTAAGCATATTTCTCTAGTCCCTTATTCAAATAATTTTAAATTTAACATTTTAAAAGAGCTGAGATTTTTTTCATATTAATTATGATATCAACGCGAATCTTGATCTTATGCATGCCTCGAGATTTCGTCTAGGCAAGAACAAATAAAATCTGATGCTTGGGACCATACTTGTCTCTGCACAGGGATCTTTTCAAACAAATAAACCCATCATCTACATTGAAGAAAAAAACAATACCTCGAGAAGAAATGACAAGATTGCTATAGACAACCAACATTGGAACCGGGGTGCTCTTCACGTTTATATCGGAGCTAGCTGAACACGACTTGGACCAACTAACATGTTAAGGTAAAAGGGTATTTTGCCAGACTTTTCAGATGGAGTATTATTCTTTGGGCCAGTGTGTCTGACCAAGTGCTAGCTTCACTAGTTCTTTATACGTTGAAGTCTCGTCCTGCAACAGAGCTGGTCGTATCCCAGCAGGTTTTGTAGCCACATTCTCGGATCATGCTGAGTATATCGCTAATGTTACAAGGCCCGAGCTCCATGCGCTCGATTCCTTCCGGTTAAAGCGCTGATTGCCACAAAAACGTCTTGACTGTTTTGGGTCTGACCGCAAAGTCGGGTTCTGTACAACTGATATCAAAGTGCAGTGTTACTCAATTTGATCGCTTGATGATGCCACAAGATGTTGTTTAGCAATGAACATCAAGGTTTATCTTCATTGCAACTTACCTTTTAATTCTACGCTCAAGCAGGATATTTTATTCCTTCAAGATGAACTCAAAATTTCGGGTTAGTCATTGAATAATAATAAATTTGTGACACGCTTCATGAATGAAACTTCAATGTATGATCTTTTGCATAATAATGAGGCATCACACGTGAAAGAAGTTTCAGATAAATGTGGCACTTGATCCATGTTCGTACCTGTTATATTCCATACACGTGATGTTTGATGACTTGGATTGATGTTTTATCAGACTGTTTTAAAATTCTGATTGATCCAAAAGCGATGAGACTCGGGAGTCACGTGAAGATCAATTAGATACCCCTTCATCTTGATTGTTCATTTCCTTTGAAGTCATGGTTGGCAATGCCAGAACTCACTGTGCCCAATACATTTTTGGTTGCGGTAAGATCTCAAGCTCGGGAGTTCTAAGCGCAACCATTAAGATCAACGCGTATATCTTCATATCACTTCCGCTATAGCGGAAGTGATATGAAGATATGCGCGTGGTATAGCGGATTTGATAGTATCTTGGATTCGCTAACAAGAGTTTTTATTTGCAACAATTTTCTGGTAGTGAGATACATAGATCAAGGTTTGTGTACTAGTAACCATGAGCGTGGATAGTCGGATTCGAGGTGTGACAAAATTTTGATGTCTCCGATCATAGTGTAGTGGATTTGATGATATCTTCGATTCGCTAACATAAGATTGAATTCGCGACAATTTTATGGGAGTGAGTTACAAAGATGAAAGTCTAGATACTAGCATCGGTGGTCATGGATAGTCAGATTTTCCATTGCAGATTGAATTTTGCTAGACTATTAACTTTGACCTTACAACATCATCGATATGTGTTGGCAATGATGGAGCATTTATTCAAGTGGATTGAGTTGGTGTCATTACTTGACAAGACGAGTGAATGAACAATATATGTTTTCCTTGATTGTATGCTTAGTTATTTTGGTGCACCAACTGAGGTGTTGACCAATTAGTATGCAGAGTTTCAGGTTTTGTATGACAATGCGCTGATTGATTATCAG